CTCTCTCTCACACACACACACACACTCTCTCTCTCACACACGCACACTCGCACACACACACACTCTCTCACACACACGCACACACACACACACACACTCTCTCACACTCGCACACACACTCTCTCACACACACACACACTCTCACACACACTCAGACACAGGAGTGTGTGTGATTGACCTGTGTTTGTGTGTGTTTCTGTCAGTGGCGGAGCATCTGATCGCTCAGCACAGCGCTATAAAGATGCTGCACAGTCGTGTGAAGATCATTCTGGAGTACGTCAAAGCAGTGCAAGCAGGTGAGTTACTCACACACACACACACACACACACACACTTGTCATTGTCTCAGCACTCTAACAAGCAGGAACTTTCTCTTTGACACAGTACGGAATAGTAGCAGCTTTTGTAGCACAGGAGAAGCTTTCGGATTGTTGATTAGAATCAGCATTGAATTATACTAGGCTGATATCAGTATCAGATCCGATATTGTGCGCATGGACTTGTTCTTGTTAAAGTACAAAAAAATCAATATCATATTATAAAATGTCTGCAATAGAAGATATTTCAAGATTAACAGTGCCTATGAATCTGATTCATTGCAGTGCTTTCATAGTCGAAGCAATAAGCACAGAGCTGCTATTGTGTGAGCAGACAAATGCATGAGGACAGAGAGGTCAAGGTTTGGCTGTATTATCTAGTTGGCTACCACATTTTGTAACTTACCATCTGACACACACAGACAGTCTCTTTCTCACACACACACACACACACATTACACTGTTGTCAGCATTCATAGAGTTTTGAAAAATTTTGGAAAATTATTGATTTTTAGTCATGTTTTTGAAATTCGCTTAAATTTTGAATATTGTCTTTGAAAATGCTAGATTTTTTTTTCTTAGAATGTCTAGTGTGATTATAAAAGAAAGTTTTTTTTTTTTTATGGTGAAAGATCAGGTCATGGTTCATTTGCACATCATTAGTCATTAGTTAATGAGAAATACAGCATGTGGTCACGCTTGAGTTTGATCTGAAAGACAAGCGTGTGGAGTACTGGATACTGCTGTTATAATCGTCACTCGTATCCCATCATGCACTTGAGCTGGACTCCTGCAGAATTTATTTATTTTGCTCTTTGTGTAAAAATGTTTTACAATGAATTATTCATTTGATGCATGCATAATTGCATTTGTCTTTTTTCTGTCATGCTCTCTCTGTTTGCTTTTCTTGCAAATGGAAACATAATTGTATTTGCTGTGGCCTCCAGTTACTGAGCAGGTTTAGCTGATAATGTGCATCTGATAGTTCACTGTCTGGAAGCCCATCTGATTTATCTGAGAGCTGCTGCAGAACAGCTGGAACTGCAATCTTAGACAGTTGTGTTATTAACAGCCACAAACTCTCTCTTTGGTGTGTGTGTGTGTGTGTGTGTCTGTGTGTGTGCGTGTGT